CTCTCTCTCTCTCTCATTATTCTTGAGTGAAACATTCATGCTTCCAAATTTATTTTTCATTTTTACCTAACTCCTACAAGGGTTTTTAACTTACTCATTCTCCATCAAGATTAGGGTTTCAAATTTCAAGAAACATGCTTACTAACTCACTTATTACCCTGCTAATTAACTAATTAATTTAATTAATCACAGGAACAACAACAACGGCTTCATTTCATCGTACCCACAATACAGCTCTCCCATGCCTCCAGATTTGAGCTTCTACAGTTGGTCGAATAACGAACATACTTTCGTACAAGGTAACAACAATTTGCAAAATCCGAGGAATAATAATATCAAGGAAGAAGATCACCTCTCGTCGGAACATTACTACCGTAACTACGTCGACATTTTGAGCAGCACCGCTTCACCTAACAATAATTCTTCGAGGAATAATAACAACACCGCAACCGACGAGCAGTCGAATGACTATCTCGGCACTAAGCTCTTGCTCAAATCTTTCTCGTCCGGTAATCTCATGACCAAGAATCCGATTTCGCCTCCCGATTTTTATTATAACAACAACGGTGGTGGTGGTGGTGCGAGCATAAACGGAAGAGGGTTGTTCTGCAGCAGCCAGATTTTTCCGAGCGTGAACGTCTCGAGTTTGAGTAGTAATCAAAACTTTACGAATCCGACCTCTTTGGATATGAATTTAGAGGCCTTGGATCTTCTCACTTCTTCGAGATTTAGCGGCGAATTCGGCGGCGCGTCTTCACAGAATCAAAATCAGAATGGAGGATTTTCTTATGGATTTGATCATCATCATATGCAGCAGCAAGTTCATCAAACGACGACGCCGTTTTATTCCACTAGTAAGGTAATTCATTAATTTTAATTTGTTACTCCAAAAATACCTTAAAAATGCAGTTTATTGCATGTGTTTATATCTTGTTTATTTATTTCATTTTATTTTATTTTTTCACCTTAAATTATATGTTTCTATTTTATTTGGAAAAAAAAATTCACTTGATGAAGTATGAGTAAATTACTAGGATAAAGCTATGCCTCTTTTTCTTTTCTTTTCCTTTTTTACCCTTTACATGATGTGTGTGTGTATACTGTATATATATATATATATATATATATATATATATATGTATATATATGCTTAATTTTTGATCTTTCTCTTTGCTTTTACAAGAAAGGGGTGTTCTCTTTACTCAATTCAAAGGGGTTTCTTCAGCTTTTCTGCATTATACATTTAAGCACCTTTATATTTTTTCAGAAAAATTGAGTCATCTCTTTATTTATTACTGATGGATTTTGACAAGAGGGCCATGCATTATAATAATTCTTTGCTCAACTTTATTCCCTTTTTTTAATTTCTAATTTCTAAATTTTGTTTTTTTGAATTTTGAAAAGGTATCATCAGGTTCGAGTAATGGAGCGGTGGAAGCGAAACGAAGCGGTAGCAGAATAGAGCCTAAGGCACCAAACGCACCGAAAAAGTCGCGTTTAGAAGCACGCGCTTCTTGCCCACCTTTTAAGGTACATTTATAAGATATTTCACAATTGAGCATGCAATTTTTTTCAGAAAATTATTTAATTTGATTAACTAATTTTGTGAATTAATTAATCAGGTGAGAAAAGAGAAATTGGGAGATAGAATTGCTGCACTTCAACAGTTAGTAGCACCTTTCGGAAAGGTACGTAATTAATTATATATTAGTATATATCTCACAACCCTAACAACTTTTCGTATGTTCTTAATTCGTCGATCATCTAACTATAACTAATCCCACATTTTAACCTTAATCGAAGTAAACTTATAAATTAATATACGATCGAGTTGATTATAAGCATGCGAATACATAAGTGCGAACTAATGTGACTAGGCATGAACCGTATTCGTTTCTTGATTTTCATGTCCGTATAAGTTGAAAATACGAGACGACGACATATAATAAACTATAGAAACATAGGAAATAATTCGAGGTTCGATATATAGTACTTATAACAAGAAAGTTGTGTTTGATATTTTGGATTCTTAAAGTTAGAACATAAAACTTGGAAACACAACAGCTACAGAATTAATGAGTGGTCAAAAGTTTCATGCTTAGAATCTCAATGTAAAGGGAACATATTCTCTTTTCTGCATCAGTAAAAAAAAAAAATTACTTTTTTTTTTTTTTTTGAGGAATTGCTAATTAATTAATTAATGTGTAAAATTTATATTAATTAATATTACATGTGGGTGTGGAGAATATTGCAGACAGATACAGCGTCCGTACTTATGGAGGCCATTGGATACATCAAATTCCTTCAAAGCCAAGTAGAGGTATAGATATATATATATATATATATATATATATATATATATATATATATATATATATACTTACACTTGAAAAAAAACATTCTTCTTGGTATTTGTTCCATCATCCCTTGTTCATATAAAAATATTTACGAGTTTATACAAGTGTATAATAGAATAACCCGATGAGAATTTATCCGTGTAGCGTAAAATAAACCCTAATTGAATAATATTTAATGCAATGCTTAACATTTATAATAACTCCAGCATTTTACGTACGATCGAATGTAGATATATGATTCTTATAGTGTGTACGTTTTCTTTGCAGACTCTAAGCGTCCCTTACATGAAATCGTCACGTAACAAGTCCAGTCGAGTATTGAAAGTGGTAAGAAACCAATGATTATACGACAAATTAAACCCTTAGTATTTTTATTTATAACGTATTATTTTTGTGCGCGCCATCGAATATTGGATATATATAAGTTGATGAGAATATATAATACTGATTGATCATAGGGTGTACCAATGGAGAACGAGAACGAAGAGCAAAGGCGCGATTTGAAAAGCCGAGGACTATGTTTGGTTCCGTTGTCGTGCTTGTCGTACATGACTGATGGCGATGGTGGCGCAGCTGTATGGCCGCCGCCTCACTTTGGTGGCGGCGCCACCTAGTTATATATATATATCTATTTGATCAATGACATTAAATTTTTAACTTAGCCTTGAGAATTTGTTTCTCTCTCTATAAGCTTTTTAATTTATTTGAGTGGAGCAAACTTGGTCATCCTAAAAAAAGGAGAAGGGTAAAATGAATTTTGGGATGGACCAAGTTTGATCCATTTTTTTATTTTATTTTAAGTGATATTTGACTCGAGTGTGATTTTTTTTCCCTAGTTTCATGTTAATTAGTACTTTATGTTGCGGTTAAGCTAATTTAATTTTGTATTTTAATTATACTTTCTAATGTTTTAATTCTCCTAACAAACTCGAAAATTGGAAAATAATTAATATTGCTTGTTGTTTTGCAACTAGTGCTGAATGTCGTCGGATGGATTGGACAGGAAGACAACCTTTCGAGAAATTGATAAAAAAAAATCGGGAATCAAATAACGGCTCTGATTCCAATTTCGAAATGTTTGGAATTCAAAAATTTATTCCGATTATCGAAATTTCAAAAAATCGAAAAGTAAACAATTGCAACAAGTTTTAGAAATTTAATTGGAAATATGTAGAATTTTATTAATTAGAATTTTAAGAAACATCAAAAAGAAAAAGAAAAGGATTAATCGTGTCTTCACTCAATAAGTTAAATAGATATTAACCTAGTCCCACTTTTTAAAATAAATAGTTGCTTTCTCCCGTGTATGTAGGGCACTTCTTCAAGACTGAACCACTGCTAAACTCTGTCTTCTTATTTCATGCATTTATCTCGCAATTTTAGGGTTTTTTGTACATTGTTATAGCTCGTCGGATTGATCACTGTTTGAGTGAAATCTTCAACTGAATTAAATATATTGTATATAAAATTATAACATCTAAAGCATATGTACATCAGTTTTTCTAATATAAAAGCACAGTTTATAATATTTTAAATCAATAAATTAAATTTTAAATTAATTATTTTCATTTAGCAATAATTGCATTTAATCTTTGGTCCAAAATAGACCCATTACTGAAAATGGGTTAGTCCAACATTGCTGAGTCATAATTCGGCCCATATCAAATAGACCTCTCTCTCTCTCTCTCTCTCTCTCTATATATATATATATATGGGCGGAAATAAATTAAAATGAATTAACGAAACAAATCAGCAACCAAAAATTAAAACTCGCACAGTAGAGAGAAAGAAAGAGAGTGAGCGAGCGATGGCGGAAATGCAGAGAAGACCGGGAAGACCGATGCCTCCGCCGGGGAGGGGCCCACCACCGCCTCCCGCCGCCAGGCCTGGGATGAATCGTCCTGAACCTGTCGATCGCGAGAAGGTTTCTACCGTTTCTCTCTCTTTCTCTCTCTCTATATATATATGTGTATAATATTATGATAAGAACGTGGTTTGTGTTAACTTTGCGTCTATTTAGGGTGTTCAAGTGAAAGTTTAATTGATTATTAGTTATTCCTTTTGAGCATAAATTGGTAATTTGTCAGAAATTCATGTTTGAGAGCATTCAGGCTTTTGTGAGCAAGGGTTTAGGGTTTAGAGAATATGTTTAATTTATCTGAAAATGCACCTGAACTTTTGTTTGCGATTTCTTCGTGAATAACGGAACGCAGTATGTCGGACATTGCCTGATTGAGATATCGAATTAATTGAAGTTGCTCAAATTGCTACTCACAGATTTCTAAACTTGGGGGAATTTTGCTCTCAGAGTTGTGATATCAGCACTGTGAGAAACTCGGGGTTTAAAATTTTATGAATTCGTAGAGTAATTGTTTTAAATCAGTTGCCGTATTGAGTAGTATATACAAGTGGATGCCATTTTTGAACTATGATTCTTTGGGTTCTGTGAAATTTTTTAGTCCTTTGTATTTGTGTGTATAGGTGAATTTTTGAAGTAGAAATTCTAGCACTTACATCTTAAAGACAGACAAATTGATCTCGTTATTATGTCTTTTTTTAAAGCGAGAAAATAATGGGCAAACATGTTAGTGTTGCGTCTTGCCCATGACAACATGAATGCAGCTAAGAAAGAAGTACTATATAGTCTTGCACAAGGCCTCCAAGAGGAGATCTATCTGTGCTTTATTACACGAACTTCGTGAATTAAGAATGAAAAATACTGTAAAAATTAACGGTCTCGAAAATAATTTAGATGGTAGACATCCTCTGGTACAATGGTATAGTTGTCTGTTCGAAACTAACTTTTGAGTTTGTCGCCTTTTTGAATGCAATATGGAAACATAGATTTTGTCTGTTCCTTAATGTTTCTGTATGGTGTTTAAGAATAAAAATACATTCATTTGAGAATCAAACTTTTTTTATTTTGAAATCATTTTTGGGCTTACGTATTGCTCTTTTTCATTGTGTACTTATTTTTATGTTTGATTTTTCGTTGTTGTGCAGACTTGTCCATTGTTGCTCCGTGTTTTCACCAAGGTATGTGTGTCTTCCAATTTGAAAACGAGCTTTATTGACTTCCATGGAACAAATTTGCCTATGCATTGAATTTCTTCTAAACTTTTGACAGGTGGGAGGTCATCATACCGATGAAGATTTTGCAGTGAGAGGCAAGGAACCAAAGGATGAGGTCCAAATTTATACATGGCTGGATGCGACTTTGCGCGAATTAACTGATCTGGTACGGGAACTTGCTCCAAATATCTTTCTTTCTTTCCATTTTTCACAATTTACGTTGCATGGTTTTTGTAATCCCTTTTTACGGGGCAATGAAAAGGAATGATGGATGATCAAGAATCTAGTTTCTTTAGGGTTAGCAACTTTAGATCCTAATTTATTGTCATCACCAATCTGGTAATTTATCAATGAGCCCTTTTCATTAACCATCAGTTGGATGCATCATGCTGAAACTTTTTAGCTTCAACGTTGGCGTATATGTTTTGTTCTTTGTGGGAATATTCTCATATGATTAATTCTCACTCGTATATTCTACTGACTGTGTGTTTTTGTTTGTTTTCTTAGGTTAAAGAGGTCGCTCCAGAAGCGAGAAGAAGAGATGCTATGCTATCATTTGCTTTTGTGTACCCTGACAAACGTGGTCGTTTTGTGGTTAGAGAGGTCAGTTCTGCAGCTGAATGCATCTCTGCATATGCATTTTGTGTCCTCGATTTCTGTAAAATATCTCATATCAGGCATGATTAGAATAGCAGTTCACTGTTTTAGACTCGTATGTAGGCAACGAAGTATGGAAGTAATTACTCTACATTTTTTTAACATGCAAAGGAAAAAATTATATGACGTTCTAATTGTATAGACTCGATTTTTTATCGAAGGTGGGGAGAACTCTTTCTTACCCGAACGGGAGGCGAGCTGATAGTGGAAGCAAAGCCTTGGGTGATCTTAGCTTCCAGGTAAACCCTGCTCTTTTTTTTCCCCTTTCTTTTTTACATAAATAATATCGAGTAAATTGGATTTGACTTGTTCCTTCTGTTTGCAGATAGGCGATTACTTAGATGTGGCAATTCTAAACCAGTAATTCATTGCTAGTTACCTTCTGTTCGCTTCATGGCGTGAATGTAGTGAGTTTTTAACCATGTAATATCGTCCGTACTATGATCTTTAATTAGTCAAGGGGAAAGATCTACAAAAACATCTTCGTGTATGCTAATGATTGTCCGAGACTAGTTCGTTTGGATAATGTGGATTCTGTTTAAACACGAATGCTTCGTATCGATATTTGGTGTCCGTAATTTCTTCTTTTTTCTTTTATATATATATATATATATATATATATATATATATGATGTGTGAGGGTGAGGCTGGTGCACCAGCTCCACCTAAATTGTATATTAAAGGTTATTTGTCTTGAATTCTATAATTTGTCACATTTAAAAAGATGCTAGAATCAGCTGTCAAAGTAAATGTTTATTTTATATTATTAAGATAAGAAATTGATTTCTCAATCTGATACCGAAACGACGTCGTTCGCATTAAATTAAAGAAATAGGAGATTAAAAACCTAAATCCGAATTTCCAGATCTCTTCCCTACGGCCTACCCTCACACACACACACACGGTAACCACTAATCTAACAATAGATACACGCTCTTATATGTGTGTGTGTGTACATATATATATATATATATAAATCAGAACTTTATTGATTTCGCACTTTAATTTAAGAACTTTTAATAATTAAGAACCACCACCCAGCCTGACTGATAGATAACCCAAGATCTCCTTCATTATATCTCTCCTTCGTAGGTCACCATTTCGCCGTTTTCCTCTTCTCCGGCACCGATTTTAATCGATATATATATATGTGTGTGTATGTATATGCAGTTATACATCGATTCAGCCTGTGAATTTTGTTGAAGGTCTATGACGGCCTATGGCGATTAAGAGGGGATTATCATCTGGCGCCGGCGTCCGCAACAACAAAGGCATTGGATCTCGCTTCTGCATTAACGTTCTTCTCTGCTTTCTCACATTTCTCGCTTTCTCCTTTTTCTTCCTCGGCCGGGGACTCTACACCGCTGCTTCCTCCGGTCAGTTTCCCGTGAAATTGACTTTTTTTTTTTAATTTAATTTTGGGTTTCTTTTATTGCATTATGAGTGTGGGTGCGTGAAATTAGTTATTGAAGTGTCTGGAGTTGGGATTTAATTTGAATTTTATAGATTTAGGTGGAAATTAGGGCGAGCAGATCGGCGGAAGTTCTGTTAAAAAAAAGTGTTTATACCTGAAATCTGTTCCTCTGTAAACGATTATACATTGTGGAAAATGGAGCTTACATTATCTGTGAGTTGATCCTTTTTTAGATTTGAATGAGTGATGTAAATAATGATACTGTCTATGTCCGTTGTGTTTCGTTTCATGTATCCTTAATATGAAACTGAAAATGGTTTTCCGAAATTACATCTGAAACCATATCACCCAATCAGTTGGAAAGTCTCCAATTTGTTGTTTTTGTTGATTGGTGCTGTAAAAAAATTGATTTGAGTGTGTGAGTGGTAAAATTTTCTTCAATTGCATCTAACTGCAAATATATATTTTTTCGATGTTCTAAAGGTGAGTTATTGGAGGATTAGGATGAAAAATATTTGAAGACATACCAGATCAGATTAGATATTTGAAATTGTTAGCTGTTCTCGAAGTTTTGAAAAACAAATGAAAATGGTATTTGAACCTACCTAACACTTGTCAGGCCACTTCCAAGGCAGGTGCATCGTACTTGTATTTGTGCTGAGTTTAGTTCTTGAAGTAAAAACAAAGCTACCCATAATCAAGGATATTATGGGCACTTGTTATCTGCATTGTTTAAGTTAGACAAATACCATTCGGATGGTATTGGAAGACGTAGAACAGGGGTCGTTGGCAGTTCTGCGAAAGGTGTTATAATGGAGCTAGGATAGGGGTGTCAAGAGGGTGTGCTGCCCCACTATTTCTTATGTTGTGATATTTGGTATTGATTTATTTTTTCCATATTTCTCAGTCTAGTTAATCCATCTCTCGTATTTGAATACTGGGGCAAGGGGGGTACGAAAGTATTTACCTGGGAAAAATGCTCCTTGGGTTGACTGTGTACATCTCTGAACCTTGTGGTTCCAAATAAATGTAAACAAGCACTTCGATGGCCAATTATTTATTTTACGTTGCTTTTCTTGTACTAGGACATAGACAGGTTTATGTACGTGTTTTGAATTACTGGTGTGCATGTATGGTTATATTCACTTATTGCTTTGACATTAATTTTCTTTTATTTGACTACATAAATGTAAACTTATATTTCTGCAGATATAAATGAACCATCAATTGACTCTAGCAGACAGGTATCCTTTTTTAGATATTCTTCATTTGGACTTTGATTTCGGAGAAGATGTATATCATAATAAGAGAGTACTGATTTATACAGGATCTAAATTGGCGAGAGAAGCTAGCATTGCAGCATCTTAAATCTTTATTCTCTAAAGAGGTATTTTTCAATTGATGCACCAGCTGAGCTGTTTGGAAATACACTTTTATTTGCTGCAATTTATAGTTCCTTACAAATTTGAATATTCTCTAGGTAATTGATGTCATTAAAGCCAGTACAGATGATTTGGGACCTTTAAGTGTCGATTTTTTCCGGAACAATAATTTGTCTGCATCCTGGAGAATTCGAGACAAAACTGCTTCTGATAATGCAACTTCTGCTGAGGTCAGCATGATTATAATGATGTGTCTAATGTTACTTTTTCGCCAGTGGAAAAACTGCATTATTATTTAAAGTAACCTGAATCTTTTCTCTCTTTTTGGAAATTTTAAGATCGGTGGAGTGGCATCAGATACGAAGCCAGAAACATCTAAAGGCAAGAAGGAACATTCTTCAAATGGTAATACCTTTATGGAATCCTTTGGATACAATCCTTGATTCTGAATATGAATGTTTGACTAGCATATGTATTTTGTGCAGAGGATCATTCTGTATTTCTTGAGACACCAGCTAAACTTGTCAGAAGGGTAAGTGCCACGATTAATCCAATACAATTCCGCAGATAATGTTGTTGTATGAAACCTTTTTTGATCCTCGCCTGATCCATTTACTAAAAATTCGAAAGAACGGCAATCTTTTAAACTTGATTTTCTATCTGTAAATATATCTTGTACCACTTCTGGATTTAATCTATGCATTACTCTGCAGCAACTGAGAGAAAAAAGACGTGAAAAGCGTGCTGCAGATTTGGTAAAGCAAGATGATGAAGTCACTGTCAAGCTTGAAACTGCAGCCATTGAACGTTCTAAATCAGTTGATTCTGCAGTTTTGGGGAAGTACAGTATCTGGAGGAGAGAAAATGACAATGAAAACTCCGATTCAACTGTGCGCTTGATACGGGATCAAATGATAATGGCAAGGGTATATACAAGTCTTGCAAGGATGAAAAACAAGCATGATTTGGCCACTGAGTTACAAAACCGGCTCAAAGAAAGTCAGCGTTCTTTAGGGGAGGCAACCGCTGATTCTGATTTAAATCACAGGTATTGGGTGCATAACATTATCCGTTTTAATCAGCTGAAAATCTAACTTGTTACTTAAGTAGATTATTTTACGTTGGCATATTATACTTGTAACAGCGCACCCGAAAAAATTAAGCTGATGGGCCAAGTGCTGTCTAAAGCGAAAGAGCAATTGTATGACTGCAACCTGGTCACAGGAAAGCTTAGAGCTATGCTGCAATCTGCAGATGAGCAGGTCAGGAGTCTGAAAAAGCAGAGCACGTTCTTAAGTCAATTGGCTGCAAAGACAATTCCGAATGGGGTTCACTGTTTAGCCATGCGCTTAACAATTGATTATTACCTCCTTCCATTAGAGAAAAGGAAGTTCCCTCGGAGTGAAAACTTTGAAAATCCTAAGCTATATCATTACGCCCTCTTCTCTGATAACGTTCTTGCTGCTTCAGTCGTGGTTAACTCAACCGTTATGAATGCCAAGGTGTGGAATTTTTTCTCTGCTTTTTATTTTTCTGTTATGGATTTCAATTTGCTCTTTGCTGCTGTATTAGTATTAGTGTGGGGTCCTTTGCCATACGAAATGGCAAAACTGTATAAAATGCATTTTAAAGTGAAGTGAAATCTCAGATATTATACTTCCCATATTTTTTTTGTGGCTGAACAATTTATGTGATATTTTGCCTATTTGGTGTGAGTGCCTAGTTAGGCCATGAGTTCCAAATCTTCATCTTATGAGGAAATACATAACATATGGTGTTTTATGTATATATGCATCGTGGACATACATATTACATGCATCGTGGACATACATATTTCATCTAGGATAGGATTACTGTACCTAAATGCATAGGTATAGGCTCACACACACACGCACATACTTGTTACATTGCATCCTGACGTGTATATAATACAAATGATTTTCCAATGTGACGCTTTTCTTACTTAATACAAATGCTTGTTATGTTGTAGGAGCCTGAGAAGCACGTGTTCCATCTTGTTACCGATAAGTTGAACTTTGGTGCAATGAATATGTGGTTTCTCTTGAACCCTCCCGGTAAAGCTACAATCCACGTCGAAAATGTCGACGAATTCAAGTGGCTCAACTCATCCTATTGCCCTGTTCTACGCCAGTTGGAATCTGCCGCAATGAAAGAATATTATTTCAAGGCGGCTCATCCCACCACACTTTCTGCTGGCTCCTCCAACCTCAAGTACAGAAACCCAAAGTATCTTTCGATGCTTAACCATCTAAGGTTTTATCTCCCACAGGTTTATCCCAAATTGGATAAAATTCTTTTCCTCGATGACGACATTGTTGTTCAGAAGGACTTGACTGGGCTATGGTCAGTTGATCTCCATGGAAAAGTAAACGGTGCAGTTGAAACCTGTGGTGAGAGCTTTCATCGGTTCGATAAGTACCTAAATTTCTCCAATCCTCATATTGCTAAAAACTTCGATCCAAATGCCTGTGGGTGGGCATATGGCATGAACATGTTCGATCTCGTGGAGTGGAAGAAGCAGGATATAACTGGCATATACCACAAATGGCAGAATATGGTACGTTTTTATTTTTATTTTGTTATTTTTGGTGAAAATGTCAAATTTTATAACAAAGGGGGAGAAAATAAATAGGAAAATGAAAGAACTGGTTATGGATTCCACATATGCATCTTTTTTCTTTGCTCGTATTCTCTTTTTTTTTTTCCCTGAAAAATACAGCTATTATTAGCTTATAGAAGAAGCATAACTGGGAAATATACGAAGATTTTAATTTATTTTTCGTTTTGCTATTGGTATTAGAATGAAGATAGGGTGCTGTGGAAGCTTGGAACACTACCTCCAGGTTTGATAACCTTTTACGGGCTTACACATCCGCTTGAAAAGACATGGCACGTGCTTGGTTTGGGTTACAATCCGAGCGTTGACCGGTCAGACATCGAGAATGCAGCTGTTGTACACTACAACGGGAACATGAAGCCCTGGCTAGAGTTGGCAATGACAAAGTACAAACCGTATTGGACAAAGTACATAAAATACGACCACCCTTATATACGCAACTGCAAACTAAGTGAATGATAATCTGGTAATTTTTCTCCCGAGCAACTGAATCGCACCGTTTCGACTAGATGAAGGCGGGAGTTAATCCGGTGAAGGCAAAGTCCCTCCTGGATATATATATACCTGCATATAGTGAATGCATTTCATCTCTGTGGTTCAAAATTCTATTCATAAAAAAAAAAAAAAAGTGTTCTTTAAGAAACTTGGCAATGAATAGTTGTTCGTGCCCGATTCGATTCTCCAAAATGTACTTATGGGGATGTGTTTGTTGTTAGTTGAAGTTACTAATTGTATTCTTTGGACAAACTATTAGATTTATATCGTAGTTGGACTCTCTGCTTTTTTAATCGAAATTTCTGTTCTCTTTCGAAGAAAAGTTCTGATTGTTTGTGCCACTGGCATGTCGAAATTTTCTCTTTCGCTACGCTTTTACGAATTGAATAGAGGTTAGTTGAGCCAGTCGATAAAAGTTCGAAAAACTTAAGCTCGAGCTCATGAGCTAGAGCTTTCCGACTAGCCGATAAACCCCCCCAAGATTAAACAAAAAAAAAAAGTAAATTTCTGATAAAGTTTTTATAAATATGGGTTTTGGTTACATCCCAAGTTTTGTAAATATGAGTTTTGGCCCCCCTAAAATTTTTGTCACCCCCTTAGCCGAGCTTGAGCTCGTATATAATTTGAGCTCGAGCGTGTTCAGTTCGAACTCGACTCATTTAACCAGTTGAATTGTTCCTAGATTTACAGCTCATCAGTTTAGAGAATTAAAAAATTCTAAGGAACATTGTAGATAAGAGAAGGGCCAAATTAAATAATTCAGACAGCAGATGTGGACATATCCTTGGAATCATTGTAGGTTCTATCAAGAATCAAGATAGATATTCTTTTCCATATTTGCATTTCTAGAGTGGGAATGTGGAATTTGATGGAAGAGGACTTCAACTTTCTTGTATTTGCAAGGGAAGCCCTCCTTATCCATATTTTTCTTGGTAATAGCTACACACGTGGCAATCATACGTGAGTCTTGATATGGTTGATCGCCGCCGGTGCGGTTTAGTGTCCGGTGCTCTTGCATGTCCTGATCTCTTTCTAATGTCGTGTGTAATGTCTTAAATGCCCTTTTAGTCAACGATTTTTTTATCTGTACTTGGAATCTTTCATCTTCTTTTAAAAAAAACCAAAAAAAAAAAAAAAAAAAAAAAAAGAACCGATATTTACCAAGTTCTTGCATCCTGATCCTATTCCTACCAATGATACTTTATCCAAAATGAGAAATTGACAAAAAAATGTTGACTCTTTATGCAAAAGGGGCATTCTTTCAGGGGTACATACGTCTTTTTATTAAAAAAAAGAAAAAGAAAAGAAAAAGAAATTGAATTTAAGGCAGAGCCTATATTGGCTATGGTGTGATTTGTGAAGGTCATAATCACATGCTCTGAAAACTCAATCTGAACAAACAAAACTACTTCTTTCTAATCTATCTCTTACAGCACGCCAACACTAATCTCTCTCTTCCTCTCTCTCTCTCTAAAAACAAGAATCTCTTATCTTGTTCCTCTCTCTCTCTCTCTCTCTCTATCACACCAATTCGTCTTTCCTTTATCCATTCTCCTCTTGTCGGTCATTAAACATCTGTTATTACTCCCCCCAATTCCTCTGTCTTTCCTCTTTTCGAACCCCCCAGATAATTTATTTTCTTAATTCCGATCCTCTTCATCAAAATCGGTTCTTGAAGATTTTTTACGGAGATCAACGTTCTCTTCTTACCAGGTTTGATCCTTTTATATACACAAAAGAACAATTTTTTATTGCGATTTATGGTCTTTTAGAACACCGATCAGTCGTTTCTTGGACAACAATTTAACAATAAATCGAACCCATGTTTCCGATCAGAGATTTCTTCTGTTGTCTGAAATCGAGTCCCACTTTCATAGTTGACTAATTAGCTGATCAGTTCTCTCTTGTATAATCTGTGAGCGTATATTTGATTAGTGGTATCTGGGTTTTTAAATATCTGGTTTTTATGACGAAATTATTTCTTCATTTAGAAAAAATAAAAAAATAAAAATTAGGTATTAATTAAATGATCGGCTAACAAATTTTAATTTGTCAAAAGAAATTAATTATTCATTTGTGAATGGTTTGAGCTTCATCTATAATCTGTATATGTGCATTGGGATTGAAATTTTTTTCGATTTTTCGATGATCGAATTTTGTAGGAATTTTTTTAGATGGCTTCATTACAAGGCCCTGTCGTTTGCCCTGTGATTCGTGCGGAAAAAACCGGATCGTACTTTGTCCCCGTCGATTCACCTCTGATGAAAGGTAGATTCATTAGAAATGGTGTTAGAGGGATCAAGATTAGCCGGGGTAGTTTGGGTAATCAACACCGTTCGAGGAAATGCAGAACTATCCGAGGCAGTTTCAGTTCCTCGTCGAATGGTAACGGTAGCATGGCCGGGAATTCCAACGAGAATGATGCCGATTACGTCAATTCAACTGTTCTTGAAGCTGGTAAATTATTATTCTCCTTTTTTTTTTCTCTTGGATAAAATCATTCGATTTATGCAACTCATTATGTGTTTATGCAATTATTTGAATTAGTCGAGGTTCGAAGTGGGCCCGAGGGTTTCATGATAAAGATGAGAGACGGCGGCCATTTGAGATGCGCCCATAATAACCCGAAGGCCGCTCATCTACCCGATTACGCTCCTCATCCTGCTATTGTATTGAAGATGGAAGATGGGACTGGCCTTCTTCTTCCCATTATTGTTTGTATGTGCAATTAAATTAAATTATCACTCTCTTCTAGTTATTTATTTATTTACTACGAGTTTTTTTTTATTAATTCTTTCTAATTGTGGCTTTTTTTTTTTGTTATAGTGGAGATGCCGAGTGTGCTTCTCATGGCAGCTGTGCGTAATGTCCAAATTGTATGTCGTCCCATTTCTAATTCTATTTTAAGTTACCGAACTTGGGAAATGATTAATTTAAAAAAAAAAAATAGTTCGTAAAGCTAATTATTTGATTTATTATGTTTCAGGCTCGGCCGACCATGTATCAAGTAGTGAAGGATATGATTGAGAAAATGGGATATACAGTAAGTTTGTACATATATTTATTCTCTTGTGCAGCACGAGTTTAAGGTTACTCATGTATTTATTTATTTAGTTTTTAAATTCTTTTTAATTTTTTATTTTTTTTGGCAGGTGAAACATGTACGTGTGACAAAGAGGGTGCACGAGGCATATTTTGCAGAGTTACTTCTCGCAAAGGTAAAGTCGACTCATTAGTTGTGGTTCCTATGTCGAATGAAATTATAGATATAAAAGAAAGATTTTTGCTCGATATTTGTTCACTGATTAAAAAAATAAATTATGTATGTTGGTTGTTGATTGAAGCCGGATAATGAAGGAGAGAGCGTAAGCTTCGATCTTCGACCCTCGGATGCCATCAATATTGCTGTCAGATGTAAGGTAATTCTAGTTTTAGGGGTTGCTTTCTTTCGATGTATTAATTCCGATTTTGACGGAATTGTTTTTATTAAAACAAGATTTGTTGTTTTATTTGTCTGAAGGTGCCGATACAAGTGAACAAGTTTCTTGCGTACAGTGACGGCATGAAGGTTATTGAATCTGCAAAGGTTACGGTGCAGAGCTCCGTCTCCGAAGGCCCGTTTTTCACTGAACTCGACAGGTACTATTTTGATAAATAATCGGAACTAATGTCGAGAATTATTTCACGCGTGTCTTAAATTTTGAATTTTATGGTTTGTAACTAATTAAAGTTTGTTTGAAACTTCGACGCAGACCTACCGGACAGCCTTGCTTTCAAACGAAAGAATTCAATCTAGTGCGGAACATGCAAATTGCTGCCGACGAAGAACGATACACAGATGCCGGTACATTCATTAATTATATTCGTCGTTGAATTACTATTCTAGGCAAGATAAAAATATAAAAATAAAATATATACCTCTATAAATTAATATAGTCGGGACTAGGGAAATTCTATTAATTTAACGAATTATTAAATTATTGAGTTAATAATTTAACACGTTTTCACCGAGTCGGGACCGAGAGAAACTATTGTTTAATTGAGGTTATTAATTTATCGAAGTTCTACTGTATTTATTTATACTAGGTTTTGTAACGACTGTTTTTCTGCAGCTTTGTGGCGGGACAAGCTGACTCAGCTCCGGTCGAAGAGGAACTGGACATAACACATTCGACAATCAAATGTTTCTATATTTAATTAAATTGTAGGTGATAATTTTTGTGATTTAGGTAAATGTAATTTCCCATATTACCCTTGGCGGAGCTATGGTAATGACGGTGTTGCGTTTTGCGGTTTTCAGGTACTGAAGTGGGATGGCTTTGTGTATATATATCGATGAGGCTGTTTTAAGTAATTAATTGTATTAACCCCTCCAGCCCCCGGAAATAAGTGTGTAGAAGCTTCTACCATGTGTACCTATATGTGTGTGTATATATATATACAGTTACAATCTTCGTAATTTTACTGTTGTAATTTTAACATGGATGGAAGTGCACTGTAAATAAACAGATGCTTTTGTTGCTCTGTTGTTGGTGTGCCTGCGAAAATTCGAAAAAGACAGAAAAATGTTGTTAAAATTCTTATTTTATTCGAATTTGGAACAAGAGGTTATAAGCTAATATAATTTTTGGAAATTTCAAAATTCCGTCAATTCCGAGGCGTTTCGAAATTGTAATTGATTTTTGCGCTTCAATTCTTTTGGAACGAAAATTAGAACCTATTTTGTAGTTCCCAAAAAAATTGATTTTCCGAAAAAATTATTTCCGACCAATTCCATCCAATTTTCATCCCTACCTAAAGAGATACGAGTAAAAATGCAGTTTCGAATGCACTATAATCTGATATTTACAGATCTATTATGTATCATCTAAATATGGATCTCAAATGGGATAAAAACGGTACAGACTGAAAAATATTTCACATAATGACATAATCTAGAAGATTTCACTAAAATTGACACCGCAAGGATAGACATGTAAGATTATTTATAGTTGAGAGATGATTGTAATTACCAAAATATGACGGGTTTTTTTTCGTAATTTAACCCTACCTCGGGGGTTGACCTAATTTACCCAAAAAAAAAAAAAGGAATATTTGGAGGAAATGAATCCCCATGCATAGATAGCGTAGAGCGGAGGCAAGCAACAATGAGTGGCTATATATAAAGCCCTTCTTTCGGCAATACAAAGTTGCAGGTGGGCAGTTACGTACCCAACAATCAATCAAACAAATTCCGAAGCATATTCCCGCCTGAAACTTATTCCCCCACCCACCACAATTCCGCCGCCGTAGGCTGCCCGGAAATTCCCAGCCGTCCACGGCCCACCGCCACCTTTATTCAAATTTTCAATTCATAACCCTACAATAACAATACGATATTATTACACACACTGATTCCCACGTACGTACAATGCCGAAACTTTCTGTTGATTTAATATATTCTGATTCTTCTTCAAAATTTCCTCTCGCTTCTCTCTGTTTTTTTTTTTTTTTTTTTTTTTGGGTTCCGATTCCCAAAATTGTAATGGAATCTATTTCCTCATATTATATTTATTTATTTTCCGTGAAATTGGGTTGCTGAAAAATTGAGAATGGGATTAATGGGAACATTAATTCAAATGTTGGGGGTGCAAATTAGCATTTTTGATTGGTTATTGGTTTGAATTGAGATCCTATTTCTAATTACTCTGCATTTGTATTCTAAATTTTGGTTGTGATCTGCACTCTGCAGATTCTTGAAAGCCTGAAAAAAGGTAAAAAAAAAATGGAGGAACAGAAGGTGTTTGATGATATGCTTGAATGTCAGAAAAACATGAGCACTAACCCTATCATAAAGGTGAATTTACCTTTATTACCCTGGTTAAAAATTACTTTTTTTTTTTTGGTTTTTACCATATGTTGTAGCGTAAATTACGAAAAAAGGTTAAAAATAAGGGAACAATGCCTTTATCGGGATTTTTTCGATTTTGAAACCGATTAGTATTTCGCAATTTGGGATCGACATTTTGAGGTATATAATAATAGCTTGGTTTCCCAATTGATTTTGTTCAAGGCGATAAACTAGTTTCGATGTTCGAAGGATTATAAAGGAAGACGATTTCTCTGATTTTCTGCCATTGAAATGCTTGATTATATATCATTCTTCAGGACTTCGATTTCAAGGAGTTAAATGAAATTCAGAAACACTACCCGCAAGGCTACCACGGAGTAGACAAAGAGGGTAGACCTATTTACATCGAACGATTGGGGAAAATCAATGTAGAAAAACTTTTGAACGTCACGACATTGGATCGTTACGTAAAATACAAGATATACGAGTACGAGAAGACGCTCGCAATCAGGTTTCCTGCATGCTCTGTCGCTGCAAAAAGAAACATCAACCGAAGTGTAACAATTCTTGATGTCGAAGGTGTGGTAAGTAATATCTTTTTATTCATCACTACACCGTTGAATTAATAATTTATCATTTCGAAGAATTTTACGTAAGATTTTTAATTCATGGACAGAACTTCAAGAGCTTTACTAGACCTGTCCAAAAAGTTATTATGCAGCTTCGCAAGATTTTTGAGGACAACTATCCTGAAGTATGTCTTAATTTTAGCATATCCTCTCTTTTTTTTCGTACGTGATAATTTTGCTTACACTATTTTCTTTTTCCAAACAGACCCTTAGCAAAATGGTTATCGTAAATGCTGGACCGGGATTTAGGCTACTTTGGAATACTATCAAATGTTTTCTTCACCCTGATACAGTTTCCAAGATTCAGGTATGTCGTAATAACTGCATCCAAAAAAAAAAAACCGAAGTTCATTAATAGAAGGGTTTTATTTTTATTTTTCCTCTATGTGTAAATCGTAGGTTATTGGCAGCAAGTACGAAAGCAAATTACTCGAAATGATTGATGAAAGGTAATAAGTAGAGTTTGCGAAGATTATTTTTTTTATTTTATTTTTTTGGTGCAAGTTCGATTTTGCTGATATTTTTGCGATTGGCATTTATTAGCGAGCTTCCGGATTTTCTTGGTGGAAGGTGTAGCTGTAAGTGTGAAGGAGGTTGTCTTAGGTCAGACAAAGGCCCATGGAAAGACATATGTGTGGCTGATCAGAACCTTAAATTGGATCAATGTAATATTGTACCTCAGTGAAACTGCAGAAATTGTGTTTAAGTAACAAAGCTTTAGGAAGAATTAATTGATCAATTTTTTTTTAATATATTGTAGATGTGACTGTAAATATACACATCCTTGATTATATGATCAATTATTCAATTTTTTGTTAGGCATACACTAATTGTCTTCTAGTGTACAGATTGATTATGCCTGGCTGTGTATGATGTTTATCAGAAAAAGAAAATTTGATATTTCTTTTTCGAGCAAAGGTATTTACCAAAATTACAAGCGAATAATGCATGATTGATGTCTAAAGTTAACATTATCGAACCATTTCGATTTCGATTTTATATATTCAACCCAATTTCGATTTTTGTCGAAATTTGCGCATCATTTTGCCGAAAATACTCCTATTACTTGTAACTTGTAAGAGTAAACCAAAACACGATTCGATCCCCCCGATAAAAAAAATGCACTTCAATAATTATGTCAGAAAAAATAACGTAGTCACACACTCTCCTAATTTTAATTTTTTGGCTCTTAAAGAACTACTCCAATAAGGTTTGTTTGTATATTTTTTTTTAACGAAAGAATCTGCAGCCAACCATATAAGTATATTGGTTAAATCTACACTCTTGTACAATAGCTTGCAAACTATACAATAGACGTAAACCATACTAGGCTAACCATGTGTGTCGAACTCGACCTAGCGACGGACGACAAGGAGATTCAAACTTGGGTCAATTGACACATGCTCACTTATTCCAACCGTTAGATCAACCTTTGTGGGACCCAATACAGTTTCTTAAATCTACAAAATGTACTTCATTAACATATTTACATAGTTAAACCTCACAATTCAACTCCAATAAGGTATAAGGTATATACAGTTAAATCTCTATAAATTAAAACAGTTGGGACCATCAAAATTCCATTAATTTAGCGAAATATTAATTTATCAATAAATTAATAATTATTAATTTATACATTAATTAATAACTTATTAATTTATGAAATTACTTCTATTATTATTTTCAATAAATACATTTTTTTTCAAAAAAATTACGTGTATATTATTCAGTGTACCATTAATTTAATGCATTGTAGAGCCCGTTTTTACGAACGGAAGCTTTTAAAGCAGCAATGGTATATAACGATTTATGTTGAAGTATGAGAAAACCATACCAAAAATTCTAACTATGTTAAGAAAAGTGAGGGACGAGATTGATGGTAATGTGAACTTCAACAAGAAACAAACGAGAATTAAATTATACTGTATTAAGCCTTCATAGATCTATAAAATATGTATTGTATCATGTAATTTAAGAATTATTTTTTATGCATTATTAATTTATATACTATATGGGGCTTCTTAAAATTTTCGAATGTGTATTATCTTATAAATTTAACGAATTATTAATTTAGCACGTTGTCCCCAAGTCGGGACCGGGAAAATTTATTATTTAAGCGAAGTTATAAATTTATCGAGGTTCTACTGTATAATAACAAAATTTCCCAAATTATAGTCTTGGCTTCTTAATTATTAGAAACCCAATCTAAAATTTAAACAATCAAGATTTTTTTATTTTTATAAACTACGATATCTTACTAATTCATAATCCATTTATGACAATAAAATATAATAAATGTGAAAATTGAAATTATATGTCAATCAATATTCACTTTATTATATACTATTATTCTACGTATTAAACACACTATTGAAATACAAGTGTTAGTGGTATTAATTAACATAATTCGCATATTCCCCGCCAAAAGAAACACGGGAAGCACAAGGTGTGGCCACGTGGCTAGGGCCCACACCCACCAGCTAACATTTAACCGCCCTTTGTACAAACTCTTTTAATTTGCTCTCTCAACGCGCTCTCTATCTTTTCTCTTCTCTCCCCCCATACTGCAAAAGATCTTTTCCGTATCTTTTTTTGTTCTTTTTTCTTTTTTTCTTTTTTTTTTTTTAATTTCAAAAAAAATGTCCAAAACCCTCGATCGAATTTCCAGCCCTTGTGAGTAACGGAACAATCATTTGTGCTCGTATTTTTTATATTTATACTGTTTGCTGTATCAAAATTCAGTTGATTGTTCTAATTGTTCGTGCCGTCGTTTTTTTTTTTTTTTTTTTTGGATTTAGTATCGAAAATTAGGGTTTTCTCCAATTATGATTTTGCGATTAAGGAAAATGCATTAGTGAAAAAAATGCAGCTGATCTTTGATTTTCAATTTCAGTTTTTTTTTTTAATAAAGTTTTTATGATTTCTGGTATAGGCGTAATTTTGAAGTGTTTTGAATTTTGATGGGTGAATGATTATGTTGGGATAGAACTAGATTTTTTTTGGAAATGGAGTTTTACTAGAAACTTAGTTGCCAAGCATATATACTCTAATGGTACATGATGCTTATTATGAGATTTTGTTAGTTAGTAACTGCATAACATCAACAATCAATAGAGTTTTTACTATGTTATAGAGTAATAAATTTGTGTTTACAAATTGAGAGAGTTGTTACTATATTTTGATCGAACTCTATTTCGATTGTTTAGTAAACCGGGTTAGTTTTTTAGTGCACCAAGTACCATATTGATGTTTTTAAGAAGAGTATTTTTACCTGTGTGTGTGTGTGTGTGTGTGTGTGTGTGTGTGTCTATTAGAGGGTGGATGGGGTGGAGTAAGTAATTTTTATTAAGTATTTTCGAGATTTTTTTTCCGCAGTCTGCATTGAATATTGATGTCGAACAAAGATGTTAATTTTCTGTTTTTAAGGTTTCGAACATAGGTATCACTTTTTTCAGGATTAAGATTTCTCGTAATTATGGTTTAGATCACTCAGTTCTTCTGGTTTAGGTTTACTATTTACGGAACTGCCTTTTCGTCTTTGTTGTTTTGTACGTAATGTGGCCTTTACCAAATGGGATTTTCTTCCCGTGTTTGGTACTGTTTCAAGTTTTTATGCGGTGTTAGTTTTCATCGAAGCATTTATTCCATTTGACGGGGTTTACCTCTCACTGCTATGAATTTAACACTTCGATTGAAGAATATATTTTTTCTTGCTCAGGTTGCTGTAAAAATGAAAAACACAAACATAAATCAGATGCTGAAAACTCCGAGGAAAAAATTGGTATCCTGAAAAAAGCAAAAAGTGTATCAAGTAAACTTCGGAACTCTATAAAAAACAAGGTGAAAAGGATAAATGATGCTGGAGTTCATAAAATCGAGGATATTCATGTCGAGGAGCAAAAGGCTGTTGATGCTTTTCGAGAAACACTTGTCTTGGATAATCTGCTTCCTGCAAGCTTTGATGATTATCATATAATGTTAAGGTAAAAAAAAAAAATCTCATCCGCATGCTTATTAAATGTCTTGTATTATCGTCAATAATTATGTGATTCAAAAAAATGGAGTGAGTTGAAATGACTAATATGTCGAAACACCTTTGTGACTTTGTCTGTATTTACTTCTGACTACAGAGTGTTTCCGTAACCAATTGTTCTTTCTTCTGATTGCTTAATGTATTTCCAGCTTGCCAAAAAAAAATGAGTGAGAAAATACAGTAGTAAAACTTTTGGCTTAACGGCTTAGTCAATAATACCTGGTTGCTTGTGCTCATCTTACTGCTTCCGAGAATAGCTAGGACTAGTGTAATTGAACTTAACAATTCATATATTTTATTTTTTATTTCTTTGCATTGTTGCATCTGTTTTACCGAAACCTCAATGATCATGATTTGGGATGAAAAAAGCTAATCAATAACTTGCAGATTTCTGAAAGCGAGGAAGTTTAACATTGAAAAGGCAAAGGTCATGTGGGCAAACATGCTTCAGTGGAGGAAAGACTTTGGTGCTGATACAATCATGGAGGTTATCTTTTATGTTGTATTTATCGATCGATCGATCAATACATTCTGTTGCTGCAAAGGTGTTTAGATAATATGTATGTATTATGTATCTAAAATGATAGCTAGAATCATGCAGTGTCTCTAGACTCGTCCACAAATGAAGGGTTTTGAATTTTTGAAGCTCGTGCGTTGTACATTAGATTCCGACTACTACAAGATTTAAAATACTGAAGTCCCGTCTCAGAATAGTTGACGTGTACGTGTTATAATGAGCCATACTGAAGTCCCAAGTTTTAGGCTAGTTTTATTTTATAATTTGCTCATCAACTTTTAGAAAATTGAAGGTTGTTATCTGTTCACTTGACGTCTTCTCAATTCCGATGAATTTCTCGTTGTTTCATTTGTTTCTCAAATCTTAATGTGTGTGCGCTTCATATTATACTCAGGACTTGGACTTCAAAGAGTTGAACGAGGTCCAACAATATTACCCGCAAGGTTATCATGGTGTCGACAAGGATGGAAGGCCGGTATACATCGAAAGATTGGGTATGATTGATACCGACATGCTACTCCAGGTCACGAATATGGACCGATTTGTGAAATACCAAGTACAGGAGTTTGAGAGAAGTCTCGCGTTTAGGTTTCCTGCTTGTTCTGTTGCTGCAAACAGGCACATTGATTCTAGTACAACAATTTTGGATGTTCAAGGATTGGTAATAATTATTAATATATATATATTTATACTTTTTCTTTTTTAATTTTTTTTTTAATTTTGTTCTTGGTTACATGATTAGGGATTAATGAGTTTGACTGGCCCTGTTATAGAATTTATTAAGTTGGTTCAGAAGATTGACAACGACAATTATCCTGAAGTATGTTTTTTCTCTACTACTTCTCTCGATTGTTTCCAAATGCTTTCTATTGAAGCTTCGTTTTTTAAAATACATTACAGACACTTTACCGGATGTTCATCATCAATGCTGGTCCTGGCTTCAGAATGATCTGGAACGCAGTCAAGCCTTTACTTGATCCCGACACTACTTCAAAAATTCATGTATTTCTGATGATTCATGAAATGGCACATAATAATGTAGCTCGTAGCCACCGGGATAATATATATATTTTTTTAATTTCTTTTGTGAAATTATGTAGGTACTTGGCAGCAAATATCAAGAAAACTTGCTTGAAGCAATTGACGGAAGGTGAATTGTTATTACGTTTGCTTACCGATCAGTTGGTATTTTTTAGTTGTTTTAGAACTTACGGGATTATTTTGTTGGCAGTGAGTTGCCAGATTTTCTTGGCGGTAGCTGTTTGTGTGCAATTGAGGGAGGCTGTTTGAGGTCCGATAAAGGACCATGGAAAGACCAAAATTTATCGAAGGTGATGAATTGATTATATTTAACTGTTTTGAGTATTTATTTTTTTATCAATATATATATAGCTCTGTGAAATTTGACTGTTGAAATTTTTCGATGTGTAGACGAGTATAGATGTAGAGGTGAGTACCGTCCAGGGAAATACGATCTTAGATAGCGGGGATTGTTAGTTTGTCTAGGTGAGGCATCAAGTCCTGATTTTTTATTTGCTTATCCCGAATTTTTCTTTTCGGTGGGACTAATTTTAATGCGTTGGTTTATATCTTTGCATCAGATGAACGGTGAGGAATGAATCTGAAGCTGACAAAATCAAGGGTGGTGTTTCTTGAACACTTGAATATTTCTAAGTGTCCGACGACAAGTTGTAATAACATATTGGAGATAATGAATCACTCACAAGTATTGGCACTTCAATTGGGTTGTGTCGGAAACTAGCGGATACAAACGAAGCTTTTTAACATCGAACGAAGCCCCGTATGGTTTTTTCTTGAAGATGTTTCTGTCTTCATTTTCTTTTGCTATGGTTATATTATATACATTTATGTTTGTTCATCTTTATATCCTGCTTTGGCTGAATTTGAGTTTTGATTACAAGGAAATGGCAGCTACTACTAGTTTAACAGGAATGAAATGGTCCAAATGGATTCCCCTAAACTTAGACTAAATTACACGGAATCTTTATTCTACTTTAATAATACATTAACAACTTTTTAATATTACCATTAGACAGAAACAAACATCGAGTGAATTTTGATAATTATTGATAGTTGGATAATGTAGCATAAGTTTAGAGATTTTTTCATAATTTACTCAAAAAATAATGCGATATGAAGCAATTAGTAATAAGAGACCAAGAACGTACGGTACCCATTGGACTAGTCAATCTATAATGCCTAAAATCTTATCATAATAAAACCAAAAAAAGAATAAAAAAAATCTACCTAAAAAATAAATAGTACACGCCAAAATCACCACATAAAATAAAATGAAGTGGTTTTATTCAACAACCGTAATTATTCAAGTAATCATCATCATCAGGCCCTGATTTCCTTAGCCTCGAGGAATTTGACGAGGTTTAGTAATGCAACGTCAGCATTCTCACTCTTCATCAGTTCTCCGGCGACCTCCGCCGGAGTCGCCTGAACTTTCGCCAGAAGCTCGTCAATCGCCGCAAAAAGCGGATGCCCCTCCTCCTCCTCCCCATCTATCCTGAGGTAAGTGGAGGCGAGTATCTTGAAACCACTGAATTTGCAATAACCCATTTCCAATTGTACGTCCATCCGACCCGGTCTGAGCAGGGCCGGGTCTAACCGGTTCTTGTGATTCGTTGTGAACACTATTATTCTCTCGTCTCCACAGCTCGACCACAATCCATCGATGAAGTTCAGTAGTCCCGATAGTGTTATCTGAGTTTCACATCAACAAACAACTTTTACTTTTCTATAGAGAGAGAGAGAGAGAGAGATAGTGTGTGTGAGAGAAAGTGTGTGTGTTCTAGAGAGAGAAAGTGTGTGTGTTCTATAGAGAGAGAGAGAGAGAGAGAGAGAGAGAGAGAGAGAGAGGCAAAACCTTGTCGTCTTCAGGTGTACTAGTATCAATATCTCTGTTCTGCAATCCAACATTGCAATCAATGTCTTCAATCACCAGTATAGAACGATTCGCCGAACCAATCAACAGCCTCCTCAGATCTGAATTGCACTGAACCTCTCTCAAATCCAAATCATAAACATCGAACTTGAGATAATTAGCCATGGCCGCCACCAAGCTCGATTTCCCGGTCCCCGGCGGCCCGTAAAACAAGTACCCCCTTTTCCAAGCCTTCCCTACTCTCCTGTAATAATCCTTCCTCCTCGAAAATCTATCCAGATCCCCAATCAAATCGTCCTTCGTATCAGGATCCATCGCCATCGTTTCGAATGTTGCAGGGTGGTTCAGCACGACGGAGCTCCAGTAATCGGTGCCGTTGTAATCGACGGTGTGGAGGCGCACCGTTCTGATTTCGTCTTTGATCTCCTTCGATTTTTGGAGAATGTAGGGGAGGTAGGTTTTTAGGGCGTGGTCTCTGTGTTTTTTGTGGAAGCTCAGCTCGAAGAAGCGGAGCTCGGTTTTGGGGGTGGTGTTTTTGCCAACTTGCGCCGCCTGTTTGACGGCGGAGGATTGGAGGACCCACTTGTACTTGATCCCGCCGTGGAAGTCGACGATTTCCTGGTTTTTGTCGACGGTGACGGAGAGTTCCTCGTCCTTTTCGGGTTTGGTCACTTTGATTCTCTGTGTGGAGGAGGAGATTTTGGTGCCGAGATAGACGGCGGCGGCGGCGAACATTTGGTTGGAGGTAAGGCCCTCGGATTCTTCGACGACGACGGTGAGCTGGGAGGAGAGGCGGCCGGAGAGTTTGAGGAGGGAAGAGGAGAAGTAGGTTTGGATTTGTTGTGGGATGAGATCGCTGGCGATGGATTTGAAGAGGATTACGGAGGCGGTGACGGAAGCCGCCGCCGTCAGAACTTTGTTGGAAGAGGGGAGAGATTCGAATGTGAACGCCATCATTTGTTTTCCTCTGTCACTGTCACTGTGTGTTTAGTGCGTGTTATATATATATATATATATATATATATATATATATATATATATATATATATATAGTGTGTAGAGGTTTCTTGGAGAAGGGTGTTTACTGGGACTCGTTGATTGTGTAATTTGGGCTCTTCATTTTGATCCATCAATGGTTTATTTTCGTCTCAAATTCCAGTTTTTTTTTTTTTTTTTTTTTTTTTTTATAACTCATATAATTATATAAAATTAGATTAGATACAGCTAAATTATAGCTGCTATAAAGTGTTCTTGCTTTTTAGATATTCATTTTTGGCCAACTGAAGATGGGCTACATGAAAACGAGTTGGATCGGAGCGGTCGTCAGAAGATAGTGCGCGGCAGAAGTGGTCGCAAATATACGCGAGTTCGCCTAAGAACACCCTAGCAAGGAATTGGCAAACTAAATGGCTCACCGACAAGGTTCCCTAAGCACATATCAGTTCACAAGAGAGGAAGAGGGGTAGGTGTTGAGGTTCGGAGATAGCTGTTTGTACGGAGAAGATTCGACGAGAATTTCCATGAAAGAATGAGGAAAGTGTGTAAATTAAGATCAATGACTGATTGATTGATGTAAATCTCCGACAAATGAAAGAGATCCTAGATTAGGACATAGTCATATATGATTCTCTATATAACCGAATGTATCAAACCCTACTATACGTTCTCTCGAATTCTCTCTCTTCTCTCGAATTCTCTCTCTTGACTATTTTCTAGTCGTCTTGTTCATTTCCGCCATCCCCAAGTACGGCAATATGTGAATTTCTTCGACCGTCGAGAGAGAGTAGAAATATTAGTTTCAGCAAAAAGTGGAAAGGCTTTCGGCAAATTGAAAGCACTAATCCAAAGAAGAAGAAAACACCAGATACACTTGTAAACTCAGCTGCTAAAATGCCGTCCTTATGTCAATAGATCACAAGATATCTGGTCACAGATTAGTTGGTGGTTTAAAACATCTCGATGCATGAACGGAATTCGTTTCCAGTATAGCTAAATGTACGGGATTACAACAGCAAACATTTAATTTATTGAGAAAAAACGGAGAGTATACAAGATAGATACTGATACAAAATACATAAAACCATAGACAACTAAGTCGTCGCTGATTCAGCTAACTTTTTGTCTTAGAGTTCATGGATGAAGGGTAACCCATCACTCAGCATGCCGTTTCCAACAAGCTCAGTCCAAAATCTAGCTTTATAATTCATTGCTCCTCGTATGGGCTGGAAAAGAACGCACCAAAGTAATAGATACATCATTGTCTTCATAGGATTAAAAAAGCTGGCATGTCTTTTTCGTTCAGCTCCTTATTTAACGTTCCATTTCTGCACAAGCATGAAAAACTACATGTTTAAATGACGGCAAATGATTTGTTAATCACACACCTAAGTTAAGGTTGCAACTTAAAAATCATTACGAGTTCTTTCGACAGCTATAAAACCCACAACGAATGATCAAAGCCGGTTCCTGATCTATAGATTGAGACAGTTATTCTAAAAAATGCAATGCCAAATTGAATTATACATATTTTAAATAACAAATAACATGAAAGAAACCAAGAAATACTAGACTTACGAAAATTTATTTCCACTTGGCTATGTAAGAGTTTAAAGAACCGTCGATGCCCACACCATTTTGAATTTCTTCATCGTCTTTTACCATCTGGACATAGCAGCTAACTATCTTCTGATCTAACTCGTAGTAATACTCCATTTTCTTCAGTGGTTTCATGTCCAGGTCAATGAAAGATGCCTACAAGATTGTGCAGATAATGAACTATTGTCAAAAGGAAATTAGACCAGCATGCCAAAACAACAAACGACGATATTGTAGAACAACGGGAAACATTTACTGTAGATTAGAATAATTCTCTAATAATTTCAGAAGAAGGTGGCAAGAAGATGAAACATAAGTGAATATTGCAACAAGTACACAGATCTAATGGTGCGACATTTCAATAATACGTGTGAGTCTTATAAAACTCTTACCTAATAAATGGCAGGGAAAAACAAATATATGTTCATGAATTTTATATCTTCTTTGAATCGACCCTTTGTTACTAATAAACCAAATATATACTAATTCACAATTCATGCTGAAACGAGATCTTTGACATGCAGAAGTTAATAATAATACTTGGAAGGATAGATAAGGTCTTCACCTTGTAATCAAAAGTTTGGTTGATTGATTTCAGGAGTACAGACCTATGCGGAGACTCAACATCCATACTTTTTCTGGGCCTAAAACTAATCATCATACTTAGATCCTTTCCGGTGGCAGATATCAAGTAATCCCTCACAACTTTTAATTTTTCATGCTTCGACATTAAATGTATTGGTGAATATCTTCCTGACAGTTTGTTTTCGCCTTTCTGGCGACATATCACACAAGGGAGAGAAACAAGGTCGTAATAGGCATGAATGGCCCCTTCAATATCAATAGCATCAAGCTTCTGTACTTCAAGAAGCAGATTTAATAAACCAGACTTAATAACAGTTTCAGTAACGAGCTCCAGAAAATATTTCGAGTGCATCCCATCTTTTGCCACAATAACGCGTTTAATACCGTCTTGGAATGCTTGATCAACAGTATAACTCACACAGTCTGCAGCACCATCCATGCCTCCAAAAATAAGTGAACCATTTAAGAAAACTCGGAAGTTATTCTGGGGTGTAAGAAACAGAGACTTAAATGCATTTTGTACTCCATCCTTGGAACCGGAAAATAAATCCAGTGGGTCATATTTACTTATTTGTGATATCTGCATTTAGAGAATCTCCATCAGTTACAAGCTAACTATAACTTATTCCATAAATATTTAGATATAAGATGATAGACAACCAATCTCAATTCATTGATAGAGCTGAAATGCTGCAACCAGACATCCATTATGATGCTTATTTCCATGCAAGAAAAAGCTTAGATAAGGTTTAAGTATTACCACTCCATCACGCAATTTCAGAGCTTGGTGCATTTTAAAGCGAGTAATTCTCTTTTTGACTGCATTTTCTTCAGCTATGAAGTCTGAAGTAGGAAGAAATCCACCTTTGGGCTGTTTTTGCAGAAGACAAGAATAAAATGAAAGATGTTAAATACTGCCAGAAAACTGTTGAAGGATTACATCTCTACCGATATATCATATATGAATTAGCATATATGCGAAGAGAAACAAGTGGTGTGGGTTTCAAGAGATGCACCTTTATCTCAACAGAAAGACAAAAGTCCTCTTTCAGAATACCTCTAACTGTAAAATTGACCAAAATTAGCAGATCTAAAAATAAGAAAGCATACACAGCTAATCTTTGATCTCCTTACGTACCAAATCTATGTTTTGTCATTATTTTAGATGCTTCAAGATGTTTTCACTTTTCCCTCATTATGGCAGTTCTATTTTGTACTAAGGGGGTGCAAGAGATCTGGTTGTTGAGCTATTTGTTGCCAGTGGCAAAGTTATACCCATTCACAGTACCAAATAAACAGACATGATTTCTGAACAATAGTTTTCAAATGGAGATATTAGTTGTCTGCTTGTGGAATGAATAAAATAGGTCTTGAAGTCCAATTAATGAATCGAGTGATCATCTCCGGAACTAGATGAATCATCTACGATTCAATAACCAAACAATCAAGACATATTTAAGTCACTCCACGAGCAAACAGCTAATATCTCCAATTTGGAAACGGTTGTCAAAAATCGTGTCCGTATATGAGGTGGCGAGAATGGGTGTAACACCGCCATCGGCAACAAATAGCTCAACAACCAGAACTCTTGCACCCTCTTAGTTAAAAATAGATAATGAGGGAAAAGTGGAAACACCCTGAAGCATCTAAAATTATTTTAAAACATAGATTTGGTAAGTAACAAGTGCACTAGCAAGATTAAATCAATGTCAGTAAGTAACTCATACCAGAAGGAAATATTGAATGATCAGCAATGACAAGAACTGAATCACACAGGGGATTGACTTTGGCAGCATCAACGCGCCACGCAGGACGCTGAAGAAGAACTTTGTGTTCAACTGCCTTTAAAAACTCTCTTGACACAAGAATGCGGATCTGTAAAAAGTCATTAGACAAGATCCAATAGCTCAATTGCTCTGGAGACTGATGGATAATTTTACAAACAAAACACCACATAGGAGGTACGATTAAAGGATGAAATAGTGTATCAACAAAACTAGTTACAGTTTGTAATTAGAAGACACAAAAAAAAGTTGGCAAACAGAAACAGTAGTAGCCAAGAACAAAATGGTGCAGTATCATATGAGTGTTTTTTAATTGAGGAAAATCAATGATCACGAGGCTCACACGTTACAAATAGACAGAAAAAAATGGTTGGTTACAAAAGGAATCAATAGAACTTCAAATAAAAAAAAAATCTAGGAAATAATAGCTTACCCCTGCATCAACATGTTCAGAACCCAACAATGGGCACATTACTTTTTGCACATACATTTGCTCTGCAATTTCCCTTGTGCGGGCAGCAACAATGCCTTCAAATTTTCCCCATAAGAGTCGTTCATCCTTGGTTAGAGCTGAATGATGATTCTCATATTTAGATACTTTATTTGATACTTTTTGTATCCGTAACACCTTTCCAACCTAGATGCAATAGAGAAATTTAAGAAATTCGTTAAATATATTTATCCAGTTGTACAATTAGTGGACAAATTCAAGGCACTCTTCAATCTTGAAATACCAAATTTACTATTTTCAACACTGAAAAATAGTCACTCTTGGACATATTAAGTAGTTCCAAAAAATCTTAGTTGTCCGTTTTTCACGCACTTGGTTCATCAATCAACTTTCGAAATTAATACATTGATTACTTGAAACATGTATCAACTATCTTCACTTTATTTTTTCTCACAAAAAATATTGAACGATGCACGACGGTCATCTACAAAGAGGCAAATCCAATAAAACCACATGCCAACCTAGGTTCAGAACCAATTTTCTGAAGAAATGCAAAATGGCAAAAAATTATTTATAGCGACTTTGTCAATTTTCTTTCTAACTAAATAAATGAAGCAATAAAAACCAAATGGATGGCTAATTTGCAATACTATCAAAATTCATTTTTCAGTCTCAATTACTATATCCCTAACACTGATGTAAAAAAAAAAAATCTCACAAAATGACCCTTAAACTTAGCTGTGTAAATCTAAGCAAGGAAAACCAAAAAATAATTGTTTTTGTGTAGTTGTGTCGGTTATGAATATTTCTGCTCTGCAGCCAAAAAGAAATCTTATCTCAAAGAAACAATCTTAAAATAATTTCAAAGTCTAGGACAAAATCATTAAGGAAACAGAGAACGAGAATTTACAAAACGAGGAGAGCTTCCACAATAGGCAAGAACCAAGTTCACAGCTCCTTCTCCTCTATAAGCCCATTCATCCGCGTCTTTTTCCTGTAAAACCTCCGCCATCCGCTGCACACAAACAAAAGAACACTTAAATATACAGAATATATATATGTAGTTTTGTAGCTTCAGGGCACCTTAACACCTTGGTGCACCTTTGGGCCGTTCCACTCAAAAAATTCATCATATTGCCATCTGGTGTGTTACAACCAAATTGATTGTCCAGACCAAACTGTCCAGCCATAGCCTCGATTCCACAAATTCACACATGCACCCAACTCACAAAAACAAAACACATGTTCAGCAATCACCTATAGAACTAATACTACACAACCGACCTCCATCGGTTAGGTCACTAGGGCTAAATAAGTTTCCAAGACACATTCACCATACTGTAATACAAAAAGTTCATCAAATACAACTAGATCATTACCCATACCAAAAAATAAAAACAAATAAAACACTAAAAAAATTCCAAAAACAAAAAGACCTGAAAGATTTATGGCAGGGGGTAATTTATAAGGGACCAATTATATGAACTGTTTTCTGAGGAATAAGAATTTTGAATCGGAAAAAAAAAAAAATAGAACTAATAAGCAATATTTCACATCTAGTCGCTTCAAATCCCCTTCCTTTAGTGAAATCTCAGCATGATTGTCACATGATGTGGCGGTGAATTTTCGCTATGATCAGAATTTCACACAACAGATTAAATTCAGGCTTCAGCTAATAAATTAATCCCCCACGGAATACGGTAAAATAACCAGTGAAATGCTGAAAAAAAAGGAAGAGGAAAGTTACTCAACGGAGATTCGAGAAAGCGCCTCCGTCAGAGTCTGATCGGCCGCCGCACCGTCGGCGACCTCCACCGGTCAGTGTGTAGACGGATGCAACGGTTTGAACCGGCGATCCGTTCCGAATGTGGAGAAGAACCCCCGCGAAATTCAATGGGTTCTAGTGAGTTTGCACTGAACGAATTTAACATGGAGAATTAGGGTTTAGAGAGAGAGAGAGAGATTGAGGATTTAGAGAGAGAGAGAGAGTATGATGGATACTTCAAAGTTCATACTCAAGCTCACATGTGGTGGTATGCATGTGTGTTAACCGACAGATGTAATTTCCCTGCATTAATATATTAATAAAAAAATATATATTTTTCTGCCACATAAAAACATTCTATACAATGCTCCACAGCTTTCGAATAAAAGAATAATTTATTATTTTTTTCAACAGGTAATGATGACGGCGAGAGATTTTTTTGGGTGGGCCAGAGAGAAGAACCAGGGCCCGGCCCAAGCCCACATCGGAATTTCCTAGGCAAAAATAGAAAGTTTGGGGCCTTATACTTATTATTTAAATATAAAAGTAAATATTTAATTTGACAATTGATTAGGAGTTTTTTAGTTTTTAATTCCAAATAAAAACACTCTTAAAAATAATATTTAGGGATTTTTATGCAAAAGTCCCCAACCAAGCATGTTTATTATTCTAGGTTTAGGGGACATATCTCTTTTACCAATAAGCCCATCCCTTTAATATTTATTATAACTAAAGGAAACATTCATGTATATCCCAATATTACCCTCAACCATTTATACCCAATTCTTAATTGTAATCCAAATTAATCAATTTTGTCCATAAAAGTTCAATTTTGACCACAAAAATTCAATTTTGACTTTTTTTTGGAGTATAATTTAATATGCTCCAATTTCATCCTTAACTTAATTTAATCTCAATTTGACCCCAAATTTCACAAATTATTAAATTTTGACCCAAAAATTTTTTTTTTTCAAAAAATATTTTTTTTTTCAAAAACTTTTTTTTTTCCGCCGGATTCCGGCGTTGACCGGCGGTCAACGCCGGTTTCCGGCGTTGACTTTTTTAATTTTTTTTTTTTTTTTTTTTTTTTTTTTTCTTTCTTCCGGATTTTTTCGCCGGTTTCCAGCGTTGACCGGCGGTCAACGCCGGTCTCCGGCGTTGACTTTTTTTTTTTTTTTTTTTTTTTTTTTTTTTTGCTTTTTTCTTTTTTTTTCTTTTCTTTTCTTCCGGATTTTTTCGCCGGTTTCCGGCGGTCTCTTTTTTTAGTGTTTTTTTAAGTTTTTTGTTTTGTTTTGTTTGGTTTGTTTTGTTTTTCCACGTCCGCCGCTAAACGTTAACCGTAATTGTGCTGTCACTGACAGTAAATTAACGTAATTATACTGTCAATGATAGTTAATTAACGTAATTGTACTGCCGTTGACATTACATTTATGTAATTGTGTTGCCGTTGACAGTAAATTAATGCAATATTATATTTTTTTATTTATTATTATTTTTTTCTATTTTTTTTTGATTTGTTGACAAGTCAACGTAATTATATTACTGTCGTTGACAGTAAAATAACTGTAAACACAATAATATTACTGTCAACAACATCAATATTATTATTTTTTTGTGGTGTTTGTATTAATATTACTGTCTATTATTGTAATATTACTGTAAACACAATAATATTACTGTGGTTGACGGTAATATTACTGTTTGTTATAGTAATATTCCTGTCAACCACATCAATATTATTCTTTTGTTTGGATATTTTGTTTGTTTGAGTTATTCACGGATAACGTAAAACTCATATGCTACG